ATTTAAAAATACATATATAAATTAAATGCAGGTCAAGGTGATGGAAAATTGCACAACACTAGAAAACCAAGAAATCCAGGTTTTTCTAATGCATGCACACAAACAGCATAAGGGAAGTTATGGGTCACATATGCAAAAGATTTTTTTCCCCTAAAAGCTGAATTTTTAGACTTGCGTGTAATTTACCAGAACTGCACTGCAGGAATCAGATGTTCTGAAGCTGTAAATGCTTTACTCACATAGGTTCCTGCATAACCAAAATAAGTACCAGTATGTTATATTTGTCACCAAAACCTAGGCAGAGAAGACAAATCAGAACACGGGGTGTTGCCAAACTTCAACTTTTAGCTTGAAGACCATAAAACTGTTCCACCTTCCATCTCATCAAGTTACTAAAACAGAGGCCACAGGAAATAAAAGGCAAACCACAGGTTCCCAATTGACACTGCAGCTAGTTAAAAGATTACAGAATTGTCTACACTTCGAGCACAAATTAAAGAGTAACAAAGACTACTAACTTAGGGACAGAATAACTACTGACAGCAAATACTAAAGTTGAAGTCACAGACAAATGGCTACACATTTTAATGCTTGTTTTTGTTTCAATTGTTGAGCATCTATCTTTTAAATAAGAGAAATATAGATCCCCATACATCCGCATCCCATCACATAAAATTCACTTCTTAACCTTCCTATTTCTTGAAAAGTCAATTCTGAAAGTAAATACAAGTTATTCAAAAAGCAAGGTGATACATACAGTGCTGACCTGCTATAAACAAAGCCTGTACTTTAAAAAAAAAATTGTTTAACTAGTTACATAAGCACAATGACCACCCACACTGAATTTTTCACTACTGAACCCCCAGCACCTAGCCCCAAGCATGTTGTTCAAACTATGGAGGGGATGAACTTGTTACAGAAAGCTTCTGAAACCCTAAAGCAGACACCCAGGATTCTGTAAGATTCACTAACGCTGTTAATGAATCTAGTATAAGACACTGTCCCTTTCTGACTATCACTCTTAAAGCTTTTGTAGGGGAAGCTTACCTTTCTACCATACTTTTGAATCCCTGCATGAGTCAGTTTAAGTACATTTAGAATGTCAGCGTATCCTGTTTTAAGTTCCAGCACTCTCTCTGAAAAAGGGAATCTCTGAAAACTCTTGGTATTATAAAATAAGTTCCAAAATCTCACACCAATAACAAATACAATGTATGCCAAGTCCCCATTATTATCAGATTCACTTTTCTGATTCAATCTTAATTTTTCTGAACATTTCTGTACTCACAAGTCAGGCTTTCCTCCCCTCTTTTACCCCCTGAAAATACTCTTGATCCTGTAACACCACTCACAAGACCTCCCAGCCCCTTCTTTTGTATATAAACACACTCTGGTCACACACGCCATCAGCTGTTTGGTAGCTCCGCCCCTCCTCCTTTTCCGGGTAGTAACAGAGCAGCCAATGAGCTGTGAGGAGCTGTGCCTGCGGCCTTTTGCCTGCATACGCTTTTCCAAAACAAGCAGCTCCAGCCTTCAGCAGGGGCCATTGGTTCACAGATAAAAGGATCACCAGCCTGTGCAACAGGGTGAAACGAGTAACCCCCACCAACAAGGAAACCCATGTAATCTGAGCTGTTTGTTCCTCCACCGGGGAGAATTTAAACCGATATTCCTTTAGGGCAAATCACGCTATAAGGTCCCCAAAGTCCCAGTTCTCAGACAATCTAAATAATCAGCCGGGTTTGAGATGGAAACCTCAAGCGTTGCTAGGCTGGAACAGCACAGTATCACCAATCTACCTGACTTTCCAAACAAATGGCCACACTATTCACGACCATTCCATAGGATTTGGGTTAACTGCAAGTTTTTCGATTGGGACACATTCCTACAGGGCCCATAAGTCATGTATGTACATCAGCTTCTAGGCTCCTAGAAAGGTTTGCACAACCCTCAGCAAAGGATCAGAAGAGAAACAATGAATGAGTCAGAGTTTCAGAACATAATTGCCCAGCAGATTATTAAGTGCATTGGTGCAAAACACTCACTCCCTGCATAACTTGGGAGTCAGCTCTCCTCCTACCAAACCGTCACAAAAGAAATATCACCGACTCCAAACAGAGACAGTGTCTCCAAAAGAACCTACCGAGGTGGTGGAAGGCAGTAGCCAATTAGTTACACATCCTCTTCTCTCCCTACCCCCACACTGCTACTTTCATACTATATACGTTCCCCGCCAGGCTGTAAATCGTGGTGGCATAATTACGCTCAGGAGACATCCCAAAATGGGCTAAACAGGAGATTGCAATGAAACCAGCTATCGGCCTCCACACCAAAGAAACCATCAAGAGGCACTGAGGGGCAAAAAGCAAGTACATTCCTTCAGATCTTTTCTACTTCCTCTCCACCATCTTTCATTTTCAACCCCTGGCTCTTTCACAAAATTGTATTCATTTTAATAGTGGGCTGGGGAATTTTTCCTTAAATTTTTTGCTAAATATACCTTGCTCAAAAATTGTTGGCTCCATTTGGGCCTACTGATGCGAATTCAACAGAGAAAGGAGGCCACAAAATCTCTCATCCCCCATAACACACATGCACACACAAAAGGAAACATGAAAATTTTAACTTCCAAACTACATTAGACCAGAAAATAACAAACATGAAATAAAGATAACCTCTGGCTTTTAAATTCCGAGACTGTTGTGCTCCTATCTCAGAGATCTACGATTTTAAAGCGCCTCTGCTTTCTTTTGTCAGAAAGGAGGAAGGTGGGGAAAGAACAGAAGGCCAATGCATCTTTGCCTTTCTTCATTTTCTACTAAAAATAAGCTATGAAATAAGCCACTTAGGGGAAGAAAAAAAAAAAGACACCCTGCTGTTCTTTGTCTGTTTTTCTCTCCCTCTCCACCCCCCACACCCCGACTCCTAAATGCGGTAATCATTCTAGATGCCACAACTACTAAATGAACAAAAGGCACTGTATGGAAAAGGCATCAGGTCAAATTAGGCCTCACCCTTTACCCTCAATCTTCTAAAAATATATATGTACATAATTTGAGAACCTGACATTGATCAAAAACAGCTGGAATTCTCTCTCCCACCCCCATCCCAATTAAACATTAGGTACAAATTTGCATTAGGTGTGACAGTAACTCTCAATTCAAGATAAAAATAACTCAGATTCTGCTGCCATGTCATTTCCTAGTTTCTAAACAAAAATAAAACTCGAAACTGCTTTGTGTAAAATGTACACACAGCCATAGTTACAAGTTTTCCTGGAGCCTTATGAAAAGCCAACATTACTGGTATCATTCACACATTTACAAAACTCAATCAAAGCCACAAAGAACTCAGAGAGTCAATTTCACTTGTGCCTAGATATATATTCGGTACAATATATATACTTTATTTCTTGCTTCTCTCTCTAATCTTCATTCCTACCTTCCCCAAATTCTAAACTTCAAAACCCTAAAACTTAGAAGTTATCTGCTATTCCTAATTTCTAAACAAGTTTTGCCAAGTGAGAAGAAAAACACCTTCTTATTCCTGAAAAGATTATGAAAAAATTTTCTTGCCCAAGCAACTTGCCTCCCATCCCCCACTTCCAAACCAAACGCAAAAACTACTTTTTTAAAACTTCAGCGAATTCCCTGAGTATTTGACAATAATCATCGATCTCTACAGAGAGGTAAAACATCCAATCAAAAACAGTAACAAATAAAAGGAAGAAAGAAAGAATTCACCTGAAGAATCTAGCCAAACAACTTGAGTTATATAAACAAAACCCTGCAACAGGGGGAAATGGTGGGGGGATGGGGGGTAAAGGAGAAAGAGAAGCAGGAGACAGGACTTTTTTAACTGCGTTTCACACGCTACCCACCCCCCAGGGATTAGTTGTTCAGAACACCGGGCTCATTTCCTCTGTCCCCCCACCCTCTAAACTACCCCTCAAAAAAATGTCTCAATTTGTCACAGGAACCTTCGCGAATTTCTCTGGCTGGTCATGAAATAATCGGTCTGGACTCCAACCAAAACCACTGCCTGAAGGACTCTTATCAGTTAGAGCTTTCCCACTGCTACCTCCAAAGTTGGGGGTGGGGGGCAGGAAAATAAAGGGTGTCACTTGGCAAGATCAGGTCAATTATTCCCCAAGAACCCTATCCTCACAGAGGGAGTTTGCTTAAGTGCCTAGTACAGGGGCTATTTTGTCAAGGAGATCCTCTTTCTCTCCCTCCCCCCAGCTGTCATATCCTCAATATGGAAGGTGGCTTGCTAGAGGGCCTGGGGGTCCTCACCACATGCAACTATGGGTGGGACAGGCTTTGTAAGTGGAAAGAAACACAGTGGGGTTCTCCTAAGGCCCAGACAGCTGAATAGGGGTCTCTGATTTAAAACACTCAGAGCTCTTTATTACAAGAAGGGGCACTGAGCAGACTACTCTCTTCCTAATATAGAAAGGAATTAGGGATAAAGGAGGTCACTTGAGTTACCCCAGTTCAACAAGCATGTGAGTGGAGGGAACGGAGGCATCTCAAGAAAGGGAGAAAGGCTTCACCCTTGGGAATTTCTATCTCAAGTCCCTAAATCCAGAGCAAGCAAACAGGAGACAGAGAGACCCTGAAGGTGGGCTCGGTGGTGGTGAAGAAAGGTGGCTGGTCCTGCAAAAAAAAAAACAAAAAAAAAAAAACAAAAAAAAAACACAACGCCGTCTTGGGCGTCCAAACGTCGTAGAGGAAAGTCATGGGCACTAGGGGTGCAGGAAGAGCGAAGAACAACGCACATTTTGGGGGGCTGCAGATAAAGGGAGAGCTGAAAAGGCTCTGAGCTCCTGGGAGGTGCCAAGGAGCCGCCGCAGGCACTGGGGGGAGGGAGGAGAGGGAGGGAGCCTCGGACAGGGGCCTGGACTGCCCCAGGGCCCCTGCTTGGGTTTCAGGGGGTGCTCTGGGCATCCCCACACCGCCACCCACATACAGCCTGAATCGCCCCTCCACGAAGGATACAGCTTGACCACGTCCGTGTCCATCCGCCTCTTGCCCGGACTGGGGGATGACATGGTGTCGCCGCTGCCTCCCCGTCGCCTGCGCCGCCGCCGCCGCCTCTCTCCCTTCCTCGGCCCGTCTGTCACGGGCCCGGGGCCCCGGCTCTGAGGAGCCCGCGGCCGCACCGGCTCCTCGGTGGAGGTGGCAACACCCCCGCGGTGCTGTCGGGTCCCGTCAGCCGCCGCCGCCGCCCCCCGCAGGGGGGAACACCGGGCACCGTCCGGCCGAGTGGGGGTGGGGACCCCGCGGCGCCCGGCTCGGGCTGCCCCTCTCCGGCTGTGGGTTCCGCCGCGGCCCGGCCCTGGCGCTCCTCTGCGCTGCGCGACGCTCCCTCCTGCCTGCTCTAGCTCGCTCGCCTACTCGCCCGCTCACCCTCTCGCCGGCTCCCTAGTAGCCTCCACGACAAGCGGACGACTCCTGCTCTGTCGGCCTCTCTACCCCAGCCTCGCTCTGGGCGCCGTGACGTCACCTCTGTGACGTCATCGGTGGGGCGGGTCTAGCCGGAGAAAGAGGTGGGGCGCCGCGGCGTGGACTTTCCCGGAGGGTTCTGGGAGATGTAGTTCCTCTTTCTCCTGCCCTCACGGCCCTATGCCCCCTCCCCCAACTCCTCCACACACTTAATCGCTCAACTGCCAGTGTCGTTACTATCACCATAAACGATAGTAGTAAATAATGGCAACATTATTGCATTCATGTGTTTTAGGCCAATGATCCTCCTTCTCACATTCACTGTTAAAAAGGCTGTTTATTTGATTTGAGGAGGCCAAGGTGGCAATTACTCAGACAGGCACCAAAATCCGGAAATTCCCACATTGGCAGGTTCCCTGCATTCTGCTCCCTCCTTGGATGGAGAGAATTTGTTTGCAGCGACTGTAGGCTATAGCAAGGTTTCCTCAGAGCTTGCAAACCAGGGTTCATTATCTTCCATGTGTATGGCACCACTATTTCAAAGATTAGAGTTGAGGCAGCAAAGTGGCAAGGCCAGAAATAATTTAGTACTGACATCTTTACTCTTTGGAGATGATTTCACAAAGTGAATGACTGATAGAAGCAGAAACACCCCAAATGTGCTGTACAAGTGTATTGTACAAGTGTACAAGTTCAAGTTGTACTTCAGTTCAACTTGAAGTTCAATATTGTACAAGTATGCAAGTTCAGGACAAAGATTGTTCTGCCCTCCAAACTCCTATACCAACCCTACATACTCTGTCATTCATTCAATAAATATTTATTGAGCACCTGCTGTGTGCTAATCTCTCTGCTGGACATGAGGATACTATGATGAACCAAAAAAGACTAAACTTACACAGCCTCCCAATATGGTCTGTGGATCTAGAGTGTCAGCCTCACCTGGGAACTTGCTGGAAATGCAGGCTAGAGCTTCACCTCAGAACTACTGAATTAGAATCTGCAGTTTAACAAGGTCCCCAGGTGATTCCTACATGCAGTGAAGTTTGAGAGACACTGCTCTACAAGGCACTGCAAAAGAAGTAATATGGAACCCAGGAGTCAACTAGGCAAAAGGACAGGAAAGAGTGTCCTAGGCATCTCCTCTATTGATATCACATATTCACTGCCATCTATTTTCAAATTTTTTATCTATTCCCCTGTTCCCATGAATACACTTGTACTTTGTCAGACCACGTGCTGTGAGTTGGGTCCCTCTTACATAACCTCACTCACACACACACACACACACACACACACACACACACACACACACCCCTGGTGCAGCAGCAATCAGCTACAGTTGAACACTGTTTGCTGCTATCATTCTATCCCTCAAAAATACCTGCTATTTGTGTGTGGTAAATATACATCACATAAAATTTTAACCATTTTAAAGTGCACAATTCAGTGGCATTAAATACATTCACAAAGTTGTGCAACCATCACTACTATCCATCTCCAGAACTTTTTCATCATCCCAAACAGAAACTTCTGTACCCATTGAACTATAGCTCCTCGTTCATTCCCCACTCCCCCAGCCCCTGCTAACCTCTATTCTCCTTCCTAAAAGAGACGGGCTATTTTAACTGCTTCCTTTTAAAAGGGGTGCACTGCTCTTTCCTACTGCACACAGCAATTCTGCCAGAAGGAGAACATGTCTGAATGAAGAGATTTCTAACTTCCTTTATCAAGCCACTTTGTTAAAGGGAAATAAGGACAGAGCGGAGAATTGTTCCTGGCTGTGTCTCCTCTAGGCTCTCCGGGCTCCTGTTGCTGCTACCTCCCCTCCCAGCATGGTTCCCCATTCTCCTTCACCTGAAGAACTCCCACTCCTGTGCTAAGACAGTGGTTCTCAAGCTTTGGTGTACTTCAGAATCACCTGGGGAGCTTGTTAAGCTCACAAATGTCCAGGCCCCACCCCTGGGGATTCTGATTCAGAAAGTCTGGGTGGGGCTTGGACGTCCATGTCTTTAACAAGCTCCCCAGATAATTCGGATGCAGGCCAAAGTTTGAGAACCACTGCTTGAGACTCCAATGGGCATCAGCACTTGCAAAACACCTGCCTGACCCTTCTAGGTGGGTCCTGTGCTTCCATAACGTCCTCTGCAAACAAGAATGTTTCCTCCCCACCTGAGAGCAAGGTGGCAAGTTAAGAAGACCCAAAGGTATTGTTTCCAGAACAGAAAGAACTGGTCAAGGATGAGACACTTGAGAAAGAAGGCCATGGTGTAGATCTAAAAATTTTCCCTGGTGCTTTAATCTTCACAGATGCCATACTGCTGTGATCTAAGTACTAAGCAAAAATAATCAGAGGAGTATTTAGTTAAAGAAACATGTTCTGGACAATACTGGAGAAGGTGGGGCTGCTCTTCCTAGAAATGCAATGGAGGTTTAACCTTCTGAGCAGTCATTGAAAAGGAATCTCCCTTCCTAGAGAAGAGTTGTGTTTAGTAAATATATTAGCTCTGGGTTACTTAGGACAAACCTGACCCTCCCCAGCTCTTAATTATGCTTCAGTTAATTGCATGTATCCTCCTTGAGCCTCAGTTTTCTCATCTGTAAAATGTAGCTCATAATGCCCTACCCACTTGAGTGGGTTGATGGAGTAAATGGAAAAGATGAATGCAAAGTCCCCTTGTAAACTATAAATTGCTTTTCGTAAAGGTAACGTGAAATGTTGGTTACAAGGTGTAATATGATATTGGTGGCAGTATTATCGTGTTATTTGTCCCACTCCTTATAAACTGTATATCATTTAAGGAGAAGGGCATTGACTTTTTTTGGTAATTTTTTTAATGTGTCATAGCATCAATTCCTTCTCTGTAGCGAAGGTATGTTCACGTTTTTATGATACACCTTTTCTCTCTGGGCATTTTGCCATTTGCTCATTCATAAACCCATCTCCCCTATTCTGGCTTCCTCCCCTTTCCTCCATTGCAATCCTCCCCCCTCTCTCCAGAGCTTCAGAGGACTCCTGAACCTGCCATTGACCAGGTAGGTTCAAAAGGTGGCTCAAAAGTGGTGTCAAATGACAGCCCTGGTTTTACTTATTCTTGGTTTATGAAACCTGAAGCTCCTCTTGAGCACAGTAAGTTTGTGCTCACCTTTTTCCCAATGTTTCAGCCATTCAGAATGTCAATAATTTACTCTAAGACAACACTGGGCCCTGGGAGTGTCTGTTTATGTGTGTGCACACAAGGCAGTGTGCTGGAAGGAGCCGTGTTCTTCCTTATCAGGTACAACCAGGGGCGCTGGGAGGGAACAGCTGTCTGACCCTGCCTGACTCAGTAGTGTTGCAATCTGGGAAATGTATTCGGGCCTGTTTATTTCTCCCCAGGGCAAAGCCAGGCCTGACCAATGGAGCCTCCAATCTCAGGACCAGCTTCTCAAAGGCAAGAAAATAAGTTTGGAGAGAAGGTAATGCTTTGAGCCAGATACTAAGAGGCAATAAGATGAAACCAATCATTTGGTGGAGTGAGTGAAAGAGCCCAGCCCAGAAGCTGCTCTCTCTCTGAAGGTACCTGTTGACTCAAGTGAATTTATCAGTGTCCCCACCAAATGTGAAAGTCCCCCAAATAAGGCCTCCTGATTCCATTTGACCATTTCTATCAAGAAATGGGTTTGTTTTGAGCTGGCGCTCTTGGCATCTGAGATCAAGGTCCAGACCCCTTAGAGGGAAATAATATCAGCAGTTTCCTAGCTGCTATGGAAACAGAAGCTTAAAACTCATTTCAAGTCATCTCCATGTAACCCTGTCTTATTTGTCCCCACAGAAGCAGTCAGTGGGGGCTCAGGAACATGCAGGCCGCACAGCAGCAAGGGGGGAAAGATTTCATCTCCTGCACGGCTATCATTCCCGCAGGTTTCTTTGCTCACTACCTCTGGCAACAGGCTCCCAGGCCAAACACCAAGCCCCCAAAAGCAGCATGACTCAGTGAGACCATGGAACTTCGAGACAGATGACCTCTTCCTGTCCCAGGTCTGCTACCTATTATTGATGTAATTTGAGCAAGTAACCTAACCTTTGTCTCGGTTTCCTCCTCTGTAAAATGGGATGATAGCACCTGCACCACCCTTGCCTAGATCAAATAGGGGAAGAGATGTTGCAACCTTTAAAGTGCTATTCATGTATAAGATATTATCTTCATACACACACACACACACACACACACACCCTAATGCCAAGGCTCAAGGAGGGAGCAAGTTTGGAAATTATTCACACCTACATCCAGGAGCCCTCACCTGGGCCAGTTCCCCTGTTTGGCATGCTTGTATTGCCAGTCGTGGCCTCCTGTGTTTCCTTTGCTGCTTCATCCTCTCCCTGATCTGGAAATGCTGGAGGCCCCAGGTTCAGTCCTCAAGCCTCTATTCTTTACATTTAATCCCTAGCTGACCTCATCTAGTCTCAGAGCTTTAACTGCCATCTATACTCTGACTCCTGGAGGTATATTTCTGACTGAGGCCTCACCCCTGAACTTCAGATGCATTTACACAGCTGTCTATTCATCATCTCCTCACGTCCAAAGATAAACTTCTGACACCCTCCCTACCTCTGTCTCATATAGTTTTCCTCATCTCAGTAAATGGCAACTATTCAGTTGAAATATATGAAATGGCCACTTTTTTAAGTTAAGAAGTCAAATATTGACAATTTCATTTGGTTTGACCCAATACGTCCTTTTAGCTGCTCAGGCCAAAGGCCTAGGACTGCAATCCTTGACCTCTCTCTCTCTAACACCCTACATCCGATATACCAGGAAATCTTGTTGGATCTACTATCAATATATCCAGAATCTTTTTCCCACTGCCTCTGCCAAGTCATAATCATTACTACAGTCACTTCCCAACTGGCTTCCTCTCTTCAACCCCTGAATTTCACTCAGATAGAAGCCAGTGATCCTTTTAAACCATAAACCAGATCTTGTCTCCCAACAGTTCAAAACCCTCCAAGGTCTTCCCATTTCACTCTATGTCAAAGTCAAAGCTGTTAGAGGCTTCTAAGGCCCTATAGGAGTTGC